TAAAAGTGATCGATTCTTAAATAAGAAAACAAATATAGTAAAAATGCAATGTCATTGTTGTTAGATTTAATTTGTACTTTTCATACAATTCAAATGAAAACCTTAAGGACATTTTGGAGCATAAAAAATTACTTAAAATGTACATAGCTGGAAAAATCCACAAAGAACCAAGGAGATTTTTGCCCAAGATTAACAATGAAGAAAGATTGGTCCTCCCGATTTTAAAATTAATTAAAGCAATATGGTCTATTTGTTTTATGTCCTTTGTCAACATAGAAACAGACATAAAAACAGAATGGAGGCAACTTAGTAATGGACTGAAGTCTGTCAGCTTTTCAAGTTATTGGTAAAAGACCATTCTATAGTGGTTTTGGAAAAACTGGCTCAACAGGTAGGGATAAAAATGTTAGATGTTGGCCTTATTCTTTACAACATAATAAATTCCAGAAGTATTGATTTAAACTAAAAACAAATGGACAACTCAGTCACAATTATGAAAAGGGATACTAAATTTCTGAATAATATGCAGAAAATAGAATTGGGGTATGCCTTAAAAGGATATCTTATAACTAGTGTAATGAGAAATAAAAAATAATCCAATGTTAAAAAATGTTTTTAGGGTGGCACCTGTAGCTCAAAAGGGTAGGACGCCAGCTCCATATGCCAGAGGTGGCGGGCCAATCCAGCCCTGTCCAAAAATAAAGTAAAATAAAATGTTTTTTTTTTTTTTTTTTTTTTGAGATAGAGCCTCAAGCTGTCCCCCTGGGTAGAGTGCCATGGCATTACAGCTCACAGCAACCTCCAACTCCTGGGCTCAAGTGAGTCTCCTGCCTCTGCCTCCCTAGTAGCTGGGACTACAGGCGCCTGCCACAACGCCTGGCTAGTTTTTGGTTGCAGCCGTGATTGCTGTTTTGGTGGGTCCGGGCTGGGGATTCGAACCCACCACCTTAGGTGTACGTGGCTGGCGCCTTAGCCGGTTGAGCTATAGGCGCCGAGCCAAATAAAATGTTTATAATAAATGTCACTGTACAAGTGGGTAAAAGAAAAAAACTGAACCATTTTAATAGATGGCAAAATGCATTTGATTAAATTGAACTTCTATTCCTGATTTCTTTTAAATGAACAGTTGGACTTCCCTGACATGATCTCATTTCCAAATCATGACACATTTAAAATATTTTAATTAGTGTTGGGAACAGGACTATCCTTAGAGTTCACAGAGAATCTTATATCCTGGTAATTATTGTATAGGATTATTCTAAACAATGCTTAAATAGATATTACACACTCTATCATACTAATGAAATGATCAAAAAATGATTACAATTTCTCAATTGTTTAAACTGATGAAGCTAAGAAATTTTAGAACATGATATAATGAAAAGTGCAAGTGTTGGACCAAATTTTGCATCTACAAACAGAATGCTAGTTCTGCCGATCACTAGCTTTTTGATCTCAGCAAGTTATCGAAACTCTTTGAATCTCATTGTTCTCATCTATAAAATGGAAGTAACAGCAGCCAAGAGAGAATACATTTGTTACTGCCTATATCTTGCTGATTACACCAAAAAACTTTGAATAAAATAAAAAAGCAATGAAGTAAAGATTCTGAAAGGTCTTCACTGGCAGATCAGAGAGGAGAGTTAAATAAAACCTGGAGAAATGACCCAAACAGTGGTGAGGTCTAGATTTTTCCTTCTCTTTTTTTCTTATGGCTTTAACCTGAGGGTGGATCTTAATCACAGGGCAGTGGCATGAGCTATCACCTAAGACCAAGAACAGAGATGGGGAACCTATGTCCTTCTAGGTCTTAAGTGCAGTCTTTGGACTGAATCCTAATTTTATAGAACAAATCCTTTTATTTTTACTAATATGTTTTGTTAGTCTCTCATATTTTAATTTTATTTTTAAAGCGATCATATTTAAAATACCAAAGAATAAAGTAAGTTTCAATGAAGTAATTCTCCCAGATCGACCAGCACCATTAGAACATTAGTAAGCCGTAAGGGCTAAATTGGTGGCCCCTACATCATGATTTAGTTCTAACTTCACCTGCCTGACTACAGCCACTGCCACACAAGGCTACTTGGTAAGAGTTTATGGGGGTTAGATCCACCAGTCTCTGTTATCAGCTTTTGACAATGGTGTACTGTGTTTCTGTTTGTGAAGTCACACCGCTCAACAGTATTTTTTAATTCTGTCTGCTCAAAAGCCCATGATGTCAAAGAAGACCAAGAGAATTCTGAAGAAAGAAAGCAGATTTTTAAATGAAGATTGGGAATTACAATATTATCTTGTTTCTGCTAAAGATAAGACTATTTGCTTGCTTTTTGATACTGCAATATTAACATTAAAGAAATTCAGTGCACATCAGCATTATACCACTCACAAGGACCACAAATATTTTAAATTAGAGGGAGAGCCATGAAAGGTTGTACTGCAGAAATTAAAAGATGACAAGCAAAAGCAAAGATAATTCTTTCAAGCAGCAATAAGACCTATTAATTATGTCACTGAAGCAACTTATAAAGTAGCTTCTATACTTAGGGGGGGAAAGGGAAGCTGTTCAGTGATATAGAAATTGTAAAAGAATGCATTGTCAAAGTTGTAGGATGCTTAGACCCTGATAACATTTCAAAGTACAAACAACTGCCACCTTCAAGGAGAACCACAACTGACCAGCAGCATGAATTAGCCTGCAACTTTACAGAACAACTTCACGCATACTTCAAAAGTTAATTGTATATTATTCAATTCTTCCATTTTTTGGATGAATCAACTGATACCCCCTGACAGGGTTCAGATTTTATACTTCATTCAGGTCATAACAGGAGATTTCCTTTGCTACTAAGAGTTACTCACTTTGGACACTCTTGTGAACAGAACTCAGGGAATAAATATCTTTAACAACTTTTAAGATATATGTGGTGAAGGTGGACTAAATTTGATAAATTTAGTGAGTGTATATACAGAGGGTGCACCTTCCATGACAGGAAAACATGAAGGGTTTATTGCACAGATTTAAAAAAAAGTATAAACAGATCCAGATGCTCTTATTTCTTTGCACTGTGTCTTACATCAGCAAAATCTCTGTGCTGAGGCTCCTATTTTAAGTGACACTTTCTAACAAGTTATAAGTTTTGTCTAAGTATTGGTAACTATATTCATGCAAATGTAACATGGCATCACCTGTTTCATAACATGATGAAGTTGCCTGATGAGGTACTGAGTGTGGATTAGCTGTATTTTTCTAAAGTGCATTCGCTATTGTAGGGACAGGTGTTAGCCAAAATTTTATCTGTGTGAGAACAGATAGTTAAATTTTATGAAGAACAGAATCAGCAACGTAAATTATTTAAAGATTTCTATAGGAAGGCAGAGTTCTGTGTGCTATCAAGTCAAATCCAATTATTTTCAAAAAGGCTATCGTTTTTCAAAACACTTCTTCAAAAGGCAAATTTTCTTTTCTTTTTTTTGAGACAGAGTCTCACTGTGTCACTCTTGGTAGAGTACCATGGCATCACAGCTCTCAGCAACCTCAAACTCTTGGGCTTAAGAGAGTCTTTTGCCTCAGCCTCCCATGTAGCTGGGACTACAGGGGCCCACCACAATGCCTGGGTAATTTTTTTGCTGTTGTTGTAGTTGTCATTGTTGTTTAGCAGACCCAGGCTGGGTTCAAACCCATCCCTCCCTAGCCCCCAAGTATGTGGCTGGCACCCTAGCCACTGAGCTACAGGGGCCGAGCCTAAAAGTAAATTTTGAATGAACATTTTCCCTAGTTGGCAAAAGTCATTGATGGACAGTATAATATATATACATACTCTGAAAATGTTCAGCTGTTAGGGACCTATTAATCAGAGAATACAATGAAAAGTTCACTGACTTTGAGAATCATGATATCACATTCAAATTAGCATCTCAGCCTCGCTTAGTTGGTATCACCGAGGCATCTAAAGAACTAGAGATGGAATGACTGAGCTCTCAGTGAATGACATTTTAAAGTCATTGTTTGATGCTAAGAAAGATCCAGTTGAAATATGGAAAAATGCTTTGGCAACATGTCTGAAAAAGGTTTTCTTGGTTTTCATCCACTTATTACTACAAATCTACATTCTCCTACCTAGCCCAAATCAGACACTGTTAAAGTCACAAATGACAGACCCCCATCTAGAGGATCCGTTGAAATTGTGGACCTCCATGTTGCAATCAAATATTCAAATGCTTTCCAACAAAAAGCAGACACAAAAAAATCATTAAAACGTTAGTTAACTTTAAAATTAACAAATAGTTTTCATTTCCTGAAATTATTAAATACATTGTAGCCAGATTTTTACAAAATAATGTATATTTTTAAGTATATCTAACTGAAGTTTCTTCAACACAGCTTTATTTGATCAGCTAAATTAATGCAGTCTTCCAACATGAAAAGGTTCCCCATCCCTTGGCCAAGAAAATCCCCATATTTCTAGGAAGTCCTGGGAAGAGGGGCCCCTGTGGTTTAAAGACTGTGGGGAGAATCCCCATTTTTATTACTCCTGGCTTTGCCCCATAGGTGGTGGAGAACTTTGTGGCAACAGCAGTAGATAGACAAACCTCAGAGAAAAACTCCATTTTTCTTGCTAGAGGACTTGGAAAGGAGGGCCTCAGTGGGCCAGATAGTGTGAGGGGGGTCCTGGAGAAAAGAGAGGTGAAGAAGGGGATCCCCCTAATTCCGTGTAGCCATATAAATTTTATAAGTTCCAGGCTTCTCCCAGCTCTGGACTTTGGACAGATACAAGAGTTTAGCAAATCCCTTAAAAATTGAAGTGATGTTGAAACTACCATCTACAGAAGAGATAGAACTTGTGATCTGAACCTAACAAAGGTAAAGGCTTAGGTTTAAAGAGGAAAATATTAGATTAAAATAATTGACAGATTAAGGCTGGCACTAGAGCATAAGTCTCAGGGTTACTTGGGAAGAGGTGGACTTCTTTCTCGTCAGGGACGAGAAATATCCTTACCTGTCTTCTGTCAGTTTCATTAAGGTGGTTCCTCGAGTAGAGAAGACAATAAAGGACATTCTGAGCTGTGGACTAGAAAGGAAAAGAAACTCTATTAAAGCAGACAGAGACCGTGGCACGCCATTCCCTATGGGCTTCCTCCCTGTTCTTCCCTTCCCATCAGAGCTGCCAAAGCTAAAGACCCTCAACTGAAAGGAGGCCTCCAGGGCTGTGGTGAAGCGCTTATTAGCCAGCAGCTGACTTGAAGCTGTGGATGGAAGAGAAGACCTCTGTGTCATCCTGGAGGCTGCTTTGGATCTGATACCATCACTCAGTGACTCTGGATTACAATTAAGAAAGATAAAATTCACCGTTGTCCTCTGTTCTGTTTGCAGAGTTAGTCCCCTAAAAGGGAACCAGTCTGCATGGTGTCTATAAAAGGGGGTCCAGTGGACAAAATATGACAGTGTCTCCACACTAGTCTGGTGTATTCTATAATGAAGAGTGTCTCAGACTGTTGCAGCTTGATGCCATCAGCCAGTAACATCATATAACAAACTTCCTTTGGTCTGAAAGAGGGGTGGCCATCAACTTTTAATTTCTCTCCTTGGCCTCCTAAGGAGGTTATCGCATGAGGAAGAAATGTGGGGACTGGCCACAAGAATATCTATTCCAGTTGGCAGTCATACTTCTCATTATTAATGCATACATGGTTTTGGTTTCTATATGGCAGAGCTCGGGAGCACTGTTAGTGTAACATTCACACCCTGGGAGACAGAACCACTCTCAGCCAAGGACCAAACATGTTTCTCAGTATGCAGGGTGGACTAATAGACTGCAGTAGCTTCAGCAATGAATTGTCTTCCTGTGGGGTCAACTTACTTGCCCATGATAGTATTAATGTATTTCTTCAAAATACAATGGCCTCCCACACCTGACCTGGTTCCAAATATTACAATTCCCACTTCCCAAAAATGTTTCTCAAACCTGTCGCCTTTCCTATCTCTTAGGTCAAGACCTCGCCTCAGCTCTCTGACCACTGTAATTGTTCCCTGGCTGTGCCTTGCCTATCATCATTCTTCTCACTGCTCCTACAATATGAATCAGATCTTGTCATTTGTCTGCTGTGAAACTTCCAGTTGCTCCTGCTGCCTCTGAATAAAGTTACATTACCACAGTATGACACACCTTTGGAAGTCCTTAACATGGTATTTAATACTTGGTAGGAGCCCAAGCACTCTGATGAATTGAGTACTGGTCTCTTAAAACAGTCCTTGGTTCTCTGTGCATGACACCGTGCTGCCTGTTACTACATCACCAGTGCCAGAACAGCAGGACACTATCTCCTAAATGACAATAGTAATCATAAAGACTGTAATAATGGCCACCCTTATTGAGTTCTTACTATGTGCCAATTACTATCATAGGCAATTTGGATGTATGATCTCATTACACTTGGAACAACTTTATGAGATTGATAATATTATCATTTTTATTTTCCACACATGGAAATTGAGGCCCTGAAAGATGAAGCAATTTCCCCAAACTGTACACAGTGGGAGAATGACAGATCTAGGGCTTGAAACTAAATGTTCTGATTCTAGAACTTGGGCTCTTAACCATTGCATTATACTGCTTCCTTTCTATTGAGCTTAGCTCCAGAAAGAACTGAAATGTGGGAAATTTATGTCTCCAACAGGCCATCATCATTATGAATCTCAGCTAGAGGCATAATGTGGGAGTCATTAGCATTCTGATGTGTGGGCAAAGTTGTTCAGAGACTGTGCCAGCAGTGAGAAGAAAAGCCAGCCATGTGCAGAACCAACACTGACATGGGAAGGGCTGGCTGCAGCAGTGAGATGAAAGGAGACCCAGCATCAGGGAGGAGAGGTCCAAGGAAGTATAAGTCTGCATCCAATGAAGCCACTCTGTCCAGCAGAGGAAAGACTGCAAGGTGTTCCCTGGATTTGTCCTCTAGGGCATCACTTTGTGACCTTGGTGAGAGCAAGCAGGTGGATAGCACGATGAAGGTGAGATGGCAGTAGGTTAAGGAATGGATGTGAAGTAAGGATTTGCAGAGAGACAATCTTTGGAGATATGTGAATGAGAACCCAGAAAAGAAAGGGTAGTATCTATAGGAAGACAAGATAAAGAGATTGATTGTTGACATTTTTCTGGTACAAGGGGCAAGAGAGACCAGTTTATGTGTGTAGACTCTGAGGAAGGAGCCAGGGAAAAAGTAGCAGAAAATTCAAGAGAGAAACAAGGAGAAGACTAGAGACAATGGGATAAAAACAGGACTAAAATGGAGAGGTTGGTCTTAAATAGGAGGGATACTTGGATCTCAAAGACTGGCAGGCAGGACATATGTGCATCCTTTAGGAGTCAATGGGAACTTAAACTCTTGTCTGCTACTCTCTGGATTCTTAGTGAACAAGGAGGTAAGACTCCCTGCTGAGAGTGATGGGTGTGAGGGGCAGGCATTATGAAGGCTTGAGGAAAGTGTGAAGAATTAGAATTATAATTAGGAAAAAAGGAGGTCAGAATAGAGACAAATAAAAGTATTTGAAATGTCAAGGATTAGAAATGATATACATGTACTGGCACCAGCCAGCCACTGTTATTGAAGAACTTTCTCTCTGCAGTCTCAACTACCTGTATCTAGTTATTAAAATAAATTCACTTAATAAATAAGTATCATCCATGCATTCATTAATTCAAAAATATTGACAGAGCATGTACTACATGTCTGGCACTGTTATGGGCACTTGGGCTGTGGCAGTCAACAGAACATAGGTCCTGCCTCAACAAAGCGTGCATGAGAGTAATGTGTTGGTCCCATACTTTGAGGGTGGTCCATCGCCAAGGGGGGCCAGAGGAGACAACCAGAGAAAAGTGCCTCATGATCTGGATCAAGCCACGCCCACTGCTCTGTTCCTCAATTTCTTCATCTATAAAGCAAGGGGGTTGGATTAAGTGTTCTTTCTTGGTCCCCTCTCTATCCACTCTGCCCCCAACTTTCTTTGATTCTGAGATAGTGAAGAGTCTGTCTTTGCTATGGGAACTGGGAAAGAGATGTTGTGTGCCCATTCTGCACCAGGTTCTGGACTAGTTGGTTTGCACATGTTTTCTCTTACAGGCCTTACATGTAAACTAGAGTTCAGCCAAGGTAAGCAAATTGCAATGGTTACACAATAGAGCTTGGATCCAAACCCATATCTGCCTGACTTCAAAGTATATTTCACTTGACTCCTTTCCTTCAGAGGGAACAGACAACAAGAAGAACAAATAGAGACAGCAGCAGATACCACTAAGGGTGTGGAGGCAGATTTGTTTAATATCACTCCAAAGGACCAAAGGATGAGAGTGCTGGAAAGCATGTTTTGGCTCAAAGACAAAAAGACTTCCCTGAAAACTGGAACTGTCCAATGATTGGACCGCCTGCCTCAAAAGCCAGCATTTTCTTACCAGAGTTATTTAACTTGAAAGTTATTTAATGCCTCCTACTAGGATAGGTTGGGAAGTTGTTCAAGTCCAAGTTTCTATGCGTCTCTTAAATATGTTTTAACACCACCCATGTATTTGTTTCTTTCTTTCCCTGTACTTTTTTCTCCCCTCTCTCCTCTTAACATCTGCTTTTTCTAATCATCTTGGTTTGTTATTTTTTTAAATTTTTTTAAATTTCAGGTTAATGTGAGGGTACAAACAACCAGGTCACAATATTTGAATTTGTTAGGTAGAGTCCATCTTGTAGTTGTCTCCCACAGCCAAAAGATGTGCCCTATACCCCTACATTGTGCCTATTAAGTGGGAAAACACCATTTCCCACTCCTCTCTTCTCTCTGTCTCCCATTTCCCCTCTCCCCAACTTGAATTGAGTTTTATTCCTATTTGGAATGGCTTCATAGTAGTATTGAGTACACTGGATATCTGTTTTTCCATTCTTGTTATGCTTTACTTAGAAGAATGTGCTTCAACTCCATCCAGCTAAATATGAAAGATGTAAAATCACCATCATTTTGTATGGCTGAATATTCCATGGTGTACATATTCCTACAGTTTGTTGATCCATTTCTGATTTGATGGGCATTCAGGTTGTTTCTATATCTTGGCGATTGTAAACTGAGCTGTGATAACAGTCTAGTGCAAATGTCTTTATGATAAAATGACTTTTTTTTCTTCTGGTAGATGCCTAGTAGTGGGCTTGCAAATGAAAGGTCTCATTTGAGTTTTGGGGGCATTCTCCATACTACTTTCCAAAGAGATTGTATGAATTTGCAGTGCCACCAACAGTGTAAAAGTGATACCTTCTCTCTACATCCATGCCAGCATCTGCAACTTTGAAAATTTGAGATGTGGGCTAATCTTACAGGGGTTAAGTGACATTTCAGAGTGGTTTTGAATTGCATTTCTTTGATGATTAGGGATAATGAACATTTTTTCATATGTTTGTTAGCCATTCATCTGTATTCCTTAGAGAAGGTTCTGCTCATGTCTCTTGCCCAGTGATAGATGGGATTGTTTGCTCTTTTTATTTTTTTATTGATTAATTTGAGTTCTCTACAGACCCAAGTTGTCAAGCCTTTGTCCGACTAATAACATGCAAATATTTTTTCCCATTCTGAAGTTTATCTCTTTGCTTTAATTTTTGTGTCCTTAGCTGTGCAGAAGCTTTTCAGTTTAATTATGTCCTATTTGTTTATTTTTGTTGTTGTTGCAATTACCAGTGAAGTCTACTTTACAAAATCTTTCTCCAGGCTGATATTCTCAAGAGTTTTACTCACACTTTTTTCTAGGATTTTTATCATTTCATATCTTAGATTTAAATCTTTTATCCATCTTGAGTTAATTTAAGTGGTGAAAGATGTGGGTCCAGTTTCAGTTTTTTACATGTGGTTATCCAGTTCTCCCAGTACCGTTAATTGAATAGGGAATCTTTCCCCCAGTGTATGCTTTTGTTTTGTTTATCAAAGATCAGATGGCTATAAGAGACTGGTTTCATCTCTTGGTTTTCTTTTTGATTCCATATGTGTCTGTGTCTCTATTTTTGTACCAATACCATGCTGTTTTGATCACTGTGGACTTGTAACATAACCTAAAGTCTGTTAGAATGATGCCTCTGGGTTTATTTTTATTACTAAGAAATGCCTTGGCTATACAGTTTTTTCCCCCTGATTCCATACAAAATAAATAACTATATTTTCCAGTTCTTCAAAGTATGATGTTGGTATTTTAATTGAGATTACATCTTGATTTTGGATGGGTTCATTACAATGTGTCTTGGAGATGCTCTATTGTATTGAAATGACCCAGAGTTCTATAGCCCTCTCAAAAAAGTGTTTAAGAATCTTGTGTGAAACTTGGGAAATTTTCACTTATGATATCCTCCAGTAGGACTTCCATTCCTTTGGGATGTTCTTCTTCCCTTTCAGGGAAAGCTATAATTTCATATCTTTGAATGCTTCCTGAAGTCCTATAATTCTTTGAGAGAATATTCTGCTTTCTCTCTCTTCTTTTCTGCCTCTTTAACTACCTGGGTTAGCTCAAGAGCTTTATCTTCTAGCTTTAAGATTCTTTCTTCTCCATAGTCTGATCTATTATTGATACTTTCTATTGCATCTTTAAGGTCCCTGATTGACTCCTTCAATTCCTTAAGCACCACTATATCCTTTCTATATTCTTCATATCTTTCATCCATTTTTTTGGTTCTATTTTTCTCCTTTCTCATCAACTATCTTTATTGCCTTTACCATCCATATTTTAAATTCCCTTGCTGTCATTTCCATTAATTCTTTATAGGTGGAATCCTCTGTGATGGTTGCTTCATGGTCCCTTGGTGGAGTTGCTGTGTTTTGGTTTTTCATGTTGCCAGAATTTTTGGATTGGTTCCTCCTCATGTGTGTTTTCTTCTTGTTCACTTCATTCACCCTACTTTTCTCTTCTTACTCCCTCCTTCACTTTAAACTACCTTGCCTCAGAGCTTGGGTGTTGAAGTGGCCTTTTGGTATGAGGCCAAAAGGAAGAGAAGGGTAAAGAGCGAGAAGTGAAAAATAAAAGAAAAAGAGAAAGAGAAAAACAGAAGGAGGTGAAAGAAAAGAATTGATGAGAAGGAGAGAAGGATTGAAAGAGAGAAACAGGAGAAATGGTGGTGATTGGCAGGGTGCTATGGCCACACCTGCAAATCTAGGCCTTTGGGGGACTAGACTGGGTCCCTTGAAGTAAGGAGTTCCTTACCAGCCTAGGGAAAAGCAAAATACCACCTCTGCCAAATATAGGAGAAAAAGAAAAAAAAATAGCAGTATGTCATAGTGGGGACCTACTAATACCATCTTTCCAAAGGCCAAAGATAGGACATCCTAGACTCTAAGCTTGTGATGTCCTTGAGCCAGATTAATGCTATGATGCCCTAGTCAAATGAATAGCCTTGACCCCGCAGCACTCAGAGTAAAGGAATAAAGATAATAAAAAAGAAAAAGAAATGAAATTAATAATACAATTATAAAAGTAAAGAAAAAAGGACATACCTTAGCTGTGTGTGAGAAATTTATGTGGGAAAGATGAGAAAAGTAGAAAAATCTCTACCAAAAGAGAGGAAAGAAGGAGAGAAATAAAAGAGTAGGAAAGAATAAAGAGAGCTTAAAAAAACCACAACAAAAATGTTAGAGTCCTTGCTATTGAAGAAAGTAAAAATGAAAAAATAAAACTACAGCCAGACAAAAAAACAAAACAAAACAAAAAGCAACCAGAACAATAAAAAAGAGAAAAGGAAAAATAATTAAGAAAAAATTGTGAAAAGGAGCAAAAATGGAAGAAATTGATGTGTGTGTGTGTGTGTGTGTGTGTGTGTGTGTGTATCAATCACAATATGTTGCCTGGACACGAGGTGGTGTCATGGTGTTAGGCAACAGAGAACACATACATTGCTTTTGCTATATAAAATGGAAGCTAGGAGCTACTTTCTAGTTGCAGAGGAGATTGGGTCTTGTCTTCCCAACTTATTTGCCCTCAATCAGGGCCTGGCCACTTTGTCATTATTCAGTCCTCAAGTGGCTGGGGTTCTAAAGCTCTCAAACAGTGTCCCCTGACAATGTGGCCTTTCTGGGGGTACAGGATCCACTCAGCTCACCCCAAGGATGGTTGCCTGAGCTCATAAAGTGCACCAGCGTCAGCTATGCTCTAGGACCCTCCAAAATGTTCCTCTGGTATGGTCTTCCCACAGTGGTGGTGCCCAGTTAGCAGCCAAAACTGATGGGAGATCCACCCCTCCTGGTATTTAATCTTGGCCACTGGATGCTGCTCTAAACTGCTCACTGGAGCTGTTTAGTCCAAAATCAATAAACTTCAGGACAGCCCTTTCCTGTCCTCAGACCGCACGAGGGGTGGTCAGTTGGCTCCTGTCTATATGCAAGCACTTGTGTTCTGTGCTAGCTCTCCTCAGCTCTAAACCTCCTCAGTGGCTCCAGGAGTCTAACATTGCTTTACTGTGCACTCAGAGTGATGCCCCTGTGTAAGGTTAAAATGAAGTAAGCATTCTCTGGCCTGGGATCTGAGAGTCCACCTTGTGAAAAGCATCCCCAAAGTAGTTAGTAATTAGTAGAATTGTAAACATGGGTTAGTTTTATTCATGGCAGAGAACTACATGTGAAGCAAATGCAGTTATTCCTCACCTGATGAATTTATGAGCCAACTGTTCCACAAAGTAATAGATTTCATTCCAGTGGTGCAGCACACTTCCCGATCTAGGAAAACAAAAGCAGATATTGCTTGACTCAGGCGTTCATTTGTCTTTACCTTGTATTATTTCTCTTCACATTCTGTTATTTTGCATTTCACCTGTCTGTTAACTGGGCTCATTACCCAAAGCTCCTATAACTTTGGAAATTGTTCCAAAGTCTATAGATTTTCTGTTAGCATTCTTAAAATTGTTGTCAAAAAAAAAAATTCCTCCCACCCCACATACTGAAAATAAAAGCAAACCCCAAGAGATCCATAGGTGAGTTTCACACCAAGCACAAATGGACAAAGATACACAGCCTCCCCAGCCAAAGAGTCCAACTTCCTTTATGAATATTGATGCAAAATCTCTAAATAAAATGTTAGCAAAAATAATACAGCAGATTAGGAAGACAGTGCTTCTGCCAAACACTACTGATGTGCTATCTGTTGCCACTGCTGCTTAAGCTCTCAAGACTACCTTTTAAAACCAAAAAAACTTCAAGCCCTTTCCAAAGCAGAAGTCACTCTTTGTCATTGCAGCTTAAATGAAATTCATAAGAAGTTGAGTGAATGACTCAACAGGCTATAGATAAAGACCTGGGTCTGAGGTTCTAATACCAGAGTATTAAAACATATGGTTTTGAGGGAGGAGATAAATGGAAACCTGGGGGGAGGGAAGTGTAATAATATACTTTAGGCATAATGTGAAAAAGTGGCCTATTTTGTCAGTACTGAGGGGTTCTATCTGCTCAATCTGCCTGGGAACCATTTACCAGGCCAGAGCATCCACAACGGGGGGATGGCTCAGGTTGGAAAGGAGAAAGGTGAAGCTTGTATAAAGGAATGTGGTGCCCAGGGTTTAGCTGGATAGTAAAAGTCTTTACTTAGGTCAGCAGAAGGCAGACATCTGTAAATAGACCACAATATCCAAAGCTAGGTAACTAGCTAGGACTCTGTGGTCTATTTACAAATTTTCTTTGTACCTGTTACCTGACATCTAGCACTGTTCTCAAGCTTCACCTTGGGCATTGCCCTTGGCTACTCTCAGACTGTGAACTATTCATGAATGTCAGAATCTGGCACTACTACTGAATCTGCTACTACTACTACTAACTATCAGGTTGTCCAGAGAAACAGAACTAATAAGAGATTATATATATAATATTTGTAATACTCAAGTTACATTTGACTTCTGCAATTACAGGAGGTGTTCAACATGATTTGTATTTATCTTTTGTTCTTGGTATATATTGAGCATTACAATTTTAATACAGTTATTTCCTTTTTTTAAAAAAAAAGAAAGAAAATAATACAGCAGAAATTTAAGAGAATATGAATTAATTAATTGGTGGAGTTTATTTCAGGAGGTAAAGACAGTTCAATATTTAAGGAAATTTGATATAATCAGTCATATCAATAAACAAAAGAAAAAACACTACACATCCTTTCACTATATTAAAAAGGAGTCAGTCCTCTTACCGACAAAAGAGGGAAACTGTTCCATAGAACATACAGAATCATAGAATTTTAGACTTGGAAAGGGGGTTCTTTGTTTCCAACTTTTACTTGTGTCACTGGTACCATTTCCTAGTGCTTCAATCCAGCTTGTAAATATTTCCAACAGTGTTCATACTCAGAGCATAGCAGTGGGTTCCCAGTAGATTTTTCCTATTTGAACCCATTCTTTTCTGTAGCTGTGATGCCTCCTCCTTTCAGCAGAGTTCTGCATTTCTTTCTGCCTGCCATTCTAATCACTATTGAGGTTTAGAGTTTGCTTCTTCTATGCTGACATTCTATCCTGCAAACATTTTCCACTGGTTTCTGATTAATTTTATTTTTTATGTATTCATTTACAATTTAAACTTCCAAAGAATTATCTTTTGCTTTTTTTTTGAACCATTTTATAGATACATAGTATATTAGAACCTCCACAGTTGATCACTGCCTACATTGACCACCTCCTTAAATTGACCTAATTTTCATGGACCAGGCATGCGCTACGTATACGTATCAGTACAATAGGCCTAGTTCCTATGTGACCACCTCTGCATGTTGACCAGTTTGTTACAGTCCCTTGAGTGGACAACTGCCAGCAGTTTTACTGTATTTGAGAAAATTTTTTTGCCTTCCTTTTGATGATACTATGTTCCTAAAGTTTCTCATTCTGGTTAGGCTTATACTATCTCTACCAGGAGAATTTATTTTTTTTCTGTTCCATATCCAGAAATAATCTATTTGTTCATCCTGAACAAAACTGACACAATATGTTGTGTTAAAGACTATATGACAAAGAGTTCTCACTTTTCCCAAATTAATACATTAACTTTAATTCTAGAAAAAATTATGAAAGGATTTTTTTGTAAATAGAAACTTAAAAAGGGATTTTAAAAATGGAATAAAGATTAATGGTCTAAAAGTAATGAAGGCAATTCTGGAAAAGAAGACAAGGCCAGAGAGCTTGTCTATCAGATATAACGACCCTAAATACATGATATCAATGTGATATGGCTGTATAGTGTGAGAGATGATTCGTATTGGGGAAGGAGAGCAAACACTTCCACAAATGATGTGACAACTGGATTTCTAACTGAGAAAAAGTCTAATTGTGACTTCATACCAAATGTAACCCTAGATATATTCAAAAGACTAATGGGAAAAACACATGAATGAATTACAGGCAATTTTATATCCTCAGGGCAGTGAAGTTCTTAACACAGATTTGGAAAATAGTAATTGTTTCTCAAGAAAAGAATAATTTTGACTACCTAAAGTGTCTAAATTTCTGAATGACAAAAGGACACCATAATCAAGTTAAAGGCAAGAAAAGAATGGCAGAAGATGTTCTCAAAAAATATAAAAGGCAAAGGATTAGTGTCCAGGATATGTAAATTGATAGAAGTGAATATTAAAAAGGCAAACAACAGAAAAATAGCAAAAGGATCAAAATAGATAATCTCTTGAAAAATGGTAAATCAGCATATGAAAGAATATTTCACTCCTCCAATAAATACGGAATGCTTACCTTAACAATGTAAAATACCACTTTATACCCTTCAGATTGGCAAAAATTAAAACGTCTGACAATAACAAGGGTTGGTGAGAATATGGCTAAGGAGAACAGCTCCTACATGGCTAGTAGATATAGAAACTGAAATTACCTTGCAGAGCAATTTGAAAATACCTAATGGGGTTGAAGATAACATTTCCTATGACCAGCAATTATGCTTCTAGGACACTTTCCCACATAAACAAGAGGAAATGCACAGCATCTTTTAGAGAGATGGTCATTGTTACATTGTTTGTTAAAGAAAAATGTAAATGATTTGAAAATCCACCAGTAGGTAATGCACTCGCACATATATTTCTTTAAAAAATGTGAAAATGTGTTAACATTTGCTCATTTTATGTGACCTCATAGGTTTTCATTATCTTTAGCTCTTTTTTGAAGAACATAGATTGTACTAGAATCTTATAAAGGGCACTGTACATGTACAAGGAGTTGAAAGATGGATTCAATCCTGGATCATCCTACACATAAGAGCTATTAATTATAATTATTTTATTTTCATATGCTAATCTTAAACCCTACTTTGGTTAATTTGAGATAGTATTTGGCATAATAAAAAGCAAGATAATTATATCAGGGATTTCATATTTCTTATTAACGATGAAAAATAACTTATCTCCCAGCACTAACCATAGCTGCCTGAGGTGCAGAGATGAATAAGAAATGGTGATTCCTTCCAGAAGTCAGAGTGGAGTTGGAGAAGATAGAAGAATTGAAATGTGATATGTCATGACAAGTGCTGCAGGTGACGTCTGTGCTTTTGGAACAAAGGAAGGGGAATGGCTCACTCTGCCTGTATGGGTTCTGAAGGGATGGTCTTTAATCTGGATCTTGAAGGGCAGGTAAAGACTTGTGGGGAAGAGAAGAGAAAGAGCACCCTCAGCAAAAACCAGTGGAGCACGCCAGGGCAGGCTGTTTGGGAAGAGCAAGCAGCGTCATGAGACAGCACCTTTAAGCCCAGAGAGGAGGGGCAAGTAGCTGAGGAGATGTAGAAGGAAAAGGGGGCGGGGGGGGGGGCGGCAGGGCGGCCTCCTGTCAAAAGCAGACCTTTCCACTCCCACTAGCTCAGCCTTAATACATATTCCCTCTGCTTGGGACACTCATTGTCCATGCTGGCCAACTCCACCTCATTCTTTAAGACTCAGCTCAGTTGCTCTCTTCTCTTCTCCCCTGCTCTCTCTCCTCCTCACTCTCCTCTTCATATCTCCTCTTTTCTCTTCCCTTTTCTTTCCTCCTTGGTGCTGCTCTGCAGCCTCCCTTCCCCACCAATAAAGACCTTTCGTACAAAAAAAAAAAAAAAAAAGACTCAGCTCAGTCGCTCCTGAGTCACTGAGTCGCTCAGCTCAGTTGCTCTGGACCAACACAGATAGGACTCACTATCTCTGTGTCGTGCTCTCAGAACTCCTCGAACGGCTGTCAGTACCCTCTGATATTGGCTTGTAATAGCTTATAAAGACGTCTCTGCCTCCTGACACTCTAACTGTTTGTTAAATGAAAGAACATGGAAAGAAGAAGCCTCTATTGCTCATGGAAGCCTCCTGACCTTCTGCCAACTGGACACCACCTGTTCTGCCTGGGCTTGGATAAATGTCCTAGGTTTGGGATCCATTTGGCTTCAGCCAACTCCATGACCCTATAAAAACCAAGGAGCCTTCACAGTTGAGTTAATAATTCTAGAGCATAGCTACTTGGTGACCTAATCATCAACAGCAGATCTCTTAGCTGAATGGCATCTGGTGTCTCCCAGGAGCTCACCAGAACTGTATATTCTAACTCTAGGCTTCCAAGGCGTTATAAATCATCTTCCATTAGGACTCAGCCATCCTCCTGAACAGGAATCACTTGTATATATAATTCAAGTCTCACAGACTACTAGTCCATGGGGTAGATGGGAGTCCTGGGTGAGAGTCTGGCAGACATGATGCAACACTGTCTACCTGTGCCAGAAGAGGCAGC